AATTTGGTCTGGGCCCGAGGTGGGCTTAATAGCCGGCGACTACTGTATATAACCGTAGCACTAAACATAATCCCAAATGCTACCTTAACCCTAACTCTTATCACAGCTTTGACCCTGACCCTGACACAAGCATTAAACCTCACCTTAGAACTAGCACTGATTTCCCTGGAGATTAGCCAAAGCCTTCAGAACAGGTAGAGTCTTGCTAAATCGACTTGCACTTGGGAATTTTCCAGCTGGTTATAGGAAGCCCTCACTCTAGGCAAAAACAACCCTGCAGTGTTTGCTAAGGAGGACAGGTTGCCGAGGAGGGAGGGGGCGAGAATAGAACAGAAGCTGGTGTTTTTAACTTTTTACCCTAACATAGGTGAAGCAAAACTAGCGTGACAAATGCTTTTGTCACCAACCTACCAGCATAAACACTTGTAGCTAACGCGGACGAAGTATGACTGTAAACAGCGGCGTGTTGATAAATGGCGATAGTTTTCAGAGAAAGAAAACAGTTTTGCCTCGAATATTATTCAGTTGAGCCATCGCATCTCTCACTTCATACACTCTTTTAGAAACCTAAAAATACGCCCAGCAGATCTGCTTAAGTTCATACAGAGCAGGAAAACCAATGCGGCAGACGAAGTAATAATAAAAAGGCAAACAACTTTAGGGGAGTATGCTAGTATTTAAACGTCGTTTTCCAAACCATCCCTTTCGCATGGTAGATCAAAACTGCTCCTTGCACTACGCTCTGGTGGCTACTGCAGTCAACACTTAATCTAGATATATACCAACGATGTCCACATCTTAATAAACAAAATCTGTAGCGGCTCATTATAAGCAGCGTCATAGTTTACTATAACATAACTACCTAAGCTAAAACTAAAATTAATCAATTTAACTACAATAAAATAAATAAAATAAACTAAAACCTAAACTAAAACTAAACCTAAACGAAAACTTATAAAACTAAATAATAAACTAATAAATAAACTTAACAATAAACTGCAACACCGTAAGCCGCTAGTTATGTATGGTAAACTTAACTGTTGCTTATAAGGGACCCCTACCAAAAAAATTCTTTCGCGGAGTGATTTGTGAACAAGATGACACCAGGGAAAAAAAATTTCGAGCTATATTTTTGCAAACTAAGGCTCGTTAGGGTATTTCAGTGGGTACCAAGATAATATAATACTAGTCGTTGGTAAACCTACACACACAGGACAAAGACACACCTATAGTACGGAGTAGGTGTTTGCGCAGAAGGACAGGGTGTTGGGATGGGGAACTACGATAAGTGAATAAAAGCTTCTCATGTTGCCGTGGCAGGCTCACATATGATTCCAGAAGGAAAGAGCTCCACCCTGCCTACCGTGGAAAGTACCCTGTAAAGCACGCTGATCACAATGATAACCTATGATGGAGGACGTTGCACGTATTGATAGCCATGTCCGTAAAAAATCCACCGTGATATTATACCAATCATAAGAACAAGGCAACGGGCCTGTGGCTCAATGACTAGAGCGTTGGCATTGTCATTAACCGATTACGGGTTTGGGCCTCGGGCGGTGCACCAGCTGGGGTTGGATACGACTGGCCGATGCCTCTAATAAGCCAGAAATGGTCATTTCAGTCTCCTTCGTCGGTAATTTCATCCTGCCTGTATCATTAGCCGCTGTGTGGCTGCTGGTGGGGCTCGAAAGTGAGCCCTAAGGCCGTTCCGTAACGGATCGGTGAGTGCTCATCCATCAACCAGAAGCACTTCGAAAGAGTAGGAGATTACCAAAAGCTTGCTGTCACAGTAACCACAGCTCAACGGACCGAACGGCGTAAACGGATATTGCAGAGTCTGCCAGAGTAGGGAGAAAGTCAAGAAAAGCCAAGAGACCCTAGCAACGGGCTGTGTGATGGCGTGAAGACGGAGCCTTGCACCCTTTACGGCTGAAAATGCACTAATAGGACGCCTTTCTGAAGAGTCTTGGTGACTTTACAGGAACAATTTATAAGATGTTCCTATCGGAGTCTAAAACTAGTGGGTTAGGATGACTTGTATGGCCACCTTAATAGAACACGCGAATAGGAACGTCCTGCCCACATTAAATAAATGACCTTGTGATAAATTGGAGGATAGGGAAATATTCCTGTGTCTTAACCATAGCAACATCGCTAACTGACAACTAAATCATAAGCTTAACCCTAGCCCCAACCTAAACGTAAACTCAACGGTTAACAAGAACCTAAACGTTAACCCTTAACATAATCCCGACCCTCCAACTCCAGCTCTGATTTTAACACCACAAGGTTAAGCCTAACCCTAAATCCCAGCGTAATCCTTAACTTAACTTTCCTGGAAATTAGTATTCAGCCACATGTATTTTTCACGTGTCCTGTTTGAGTGGCTATACAAGTTATCCTTAAATACTCGTGTACGTCTGCTGCTGATATAACCCGGAGACTGGAAGCGCTTATATTTAACTATTTGCTGACCTTAAAGGCTATCTGAAAAACATTAGTTTCGTCAACTATCCGTTCGACATATTGTAGACAGATTTCTAGAAAACAAAATGGGATAGATGAACAAACTGAAAGGGGGAACATAGAGTGACACCTTTATTTTCGTCCACATTTCTGCACTACCATAATACAGACTTGGAGATCAAACTCCTAGGCTCACTCAACCGAATAAACGTCTCTAGAGGACGACCTGGTCAAGAAAGGTCCCGAGTTCGAGCCTCGAGTGAGGCGTCACTTGGGGCTCGGTATGACTGGCTGGCGACGGCTAATTAGTCAGAAATGGCCAGTCCAGTCTCCCATGTCTTTGCCTGCAATGCTATCTGGCTACACTACCAGCTACTGCGGCTGTCAGGGCCTCTGTCGAGCCTCTGGGTAGAGCGGGACAGATGAGTTCCGTCAGCGCTTGGTTGAACGTTCATCAACGAACGACCTACCTTGTCATTAGCCTTGACGAGACGTAATGTGTCGCCCGAGCGCACTTCCTTGTCACTGTGGCTGTAGTGCACAGGGTAATTGGGTCGCACTTGCTGTAGGTAGGGATCGCTAGGATGCAGCCTCTGCACGCCACCCTTCGTCCCCGTCTCACCCAGAGGCTCATCAGCTTGAAAGTCCTCATCGTCGTTATCAAAGTTGTCCCGGTCAAATGCATTCGGTGCCGGCTCAAACTGACTTCCACCAGCAGGGGCGCTTATGTCGTCAGTATTCTGCGGCAGTCGCATCAACAGCTGATGGGCACAAAGGGGAGGAGGAATAAAGATAGTGTTTTGGTTAGCAGGCAAAGAAATGTGTCGCAGGAAAAAATAAGAGAAGGTTCGCATATACCAACATTTTGGAATTCATCTCATAGCTTTCCAGGGGGAAGCAAAACGTTTGTAGTTGAGGAGCGAGAAAGTTGAAAAATAGGTTCAGCAAACTAGACTTTTTTCGAACGTTATGCAAGATAAATAAAAAGGTTCTGGTGGATTCCGGATCTTCATTAAAGTTCTTGATATTGGAGCTGAAATGGGCCGGAAATTTTTTACCGGATGCGAAAACCAAGGAAAGTGAAGTGTTGCCAGGACGGAAATCACAGTTCCTCATCTCGGGCTGCCTTTTAGGCGGTGGCAAGTGCGCGGAATAGCCGAAAACCACTAACACCCAAATCACAACAAAACAAAAGTTGAAGAGGCGCTCAAAATTTTCGTATTTGGCTCTTTGGATCCTTGTGGAGCTTGCGCACCTAAAATGCGGCTCACTGAAGTGAACAATTTCTTTTCCGACAGATTACATTTTTCCGAACTACGTTTATTCAAAAGTGCTTCAGGATTGCACCCAATGCCTCAAAATCTGTTAATTTACACTGATGGACTTTGGTTCGTGAATGATTACCCACTCATTGAAATTTTATTGGCCATCCTACAAATCCAAGGTCGTTTGGGATCGTCTAAAACATGGTTTTAAGCATCTTTCAGTACGGTTAATGATGACATTCGTCTACTGAATGAGGAAAGTATAGCGTAAGACTATCCGCAATATGGAACTGGTGGCGATAGGGGCTTTTAGGAAAGTGGCCTTTCGAAAAGGCAGAAAGGAATTTCTGAAGCAGGTGAAAGGCGAAACATCGTATTTGTGGTTGTGCTCCAGAGTATGCAAAATCTTTTTAAACCATCTAAAGTAATAAGCAATTGCCGAAAGAAACCCATATCAAAAAGACGCGCTCGGCCCCGGGAGGAAAATACGCACCTCCCATTGACTGAAAGTGAGGTACACCATGCGATTCATAAGCCTAGATCTCTGAATATTGGGCAGGTTGATTTGACTTTTTATATGTATAATATCATGCTCTATCCCCTTTTCTTTCATGGTTTCATCAGACGGTCTTTCTGATTGCGGCCTAAGGGATAACTTTCCAGTTTCTTCAAAATTATGTTCCCAATATTGAACTTTTGTCCTCGCTAGTGGTGGACTATTGAAAGGCTGTTGAAAATTTTGGCTGGCTAGGGTGCACATCTGGCGCAGTATCACATGTTCAACTCTAAACACTCTATCGGCAATCGAAAGTTCACTATCACCACCTGCTTCCGTCATTTCGTACTAATGAACTTTTATTTATCTACATATTTAGTTGACCCAATTGTGAAAAAACTCG